TATATATAAAATATAAAAAATGCTTATAACTTACAAATAAATAACTTTTAAAAAATCTGTCTTACAGATTTATTGCTTTTAGTCTAAGCTACAATTCTGTTAAAATAGAATTTTAATTTTATTATAAATTTAAAAAGTTATTAAAGCTAAAAGTTTATATGTAATCAAAAATTTGGCATTTAATATATAAAATAATTGTTTATATAGATTTTTAACCAATCAGAATTTTGTTACACAAAAATTAAACAATCAAATTTGAGTATAATCTCAAAATTTGGCGCTTTAAAAAAAAATTGAATGTTTTTTGCTGTCCCGTACCAGTACCGGACAGCAAAAAACATCCAATATTTGTATATAAATATAAAAATCGTTATAACTCAAGTCCTAATAACTATACATGTGTGCCTAAATTATTTTTGAAAAAAAGTATTTTCGGCAATTGCTAAATTTTTATATTAAACCCTCCGAAATAACTATACTATATGATGTATTCTGATTAAAAGAGTCCAAAAAAATTCGACAATAATTCCGGCAAATATGAAAATTAATTTCGGCACTACATAAGACTAATTTCGGCTGCCTAAATGCCGTAATTACTTTTTTATTAAGATGGGCAATTTAGGCACACATGTATACTAATAGCTTTAAAAAAATTTTGTCTTACAGATTTACTGCTTTTCGCCTGAGCTACAATTCTGTAGGAATAGATTTTTATTTATCCTATAAGATTAAAAAGTCATTACAGCTTAAAGTTTATATGTAATCAAAAATTTGGCGTTTACTATATAAAAAAAAAGCTATCTATATATATTTTTAACCAATCAGAATTAACTATACACAAATTAGCCAATCAGAATTGATTACATAATCTTCAAATTTGGCGCTTTTGAAAAAAAATTGGATGTTGCTGTCCGGTACTGTAGTATTATTTCTTTCACGTAATAATAAAAGCGTATAAAATCTAATCAATATCAACTTCTAAACTATTACCTCTTAGCACCCTTTAAAATAATAAAGCAATTTTTTTTACTACCTAAACATTAATTAGCGTTTTTCGCTTTAACTTATATATATATAAACGATCCATTCCATAAATTTAATAAATTATTGTTATTCATATATATATATATTTTACTCTATATTTATAATTGATTGATGACATCCTAACAGCTAACACAAGACTCACTGGATTTGTGCGACACTTTATCTGGTATAAATTACAAAAAAAAAAAGGTTTCGAAAAGCTTTTATTAAAACTATCTATTGCAAATTATATATTGGTGCACTGTGAGTGAGGATGACATTTAGATGAATTTAAAATTTCATCAAATTTTAAAGTTAGGGTATACTTACCAAATTGAAATATACCATTTTTAATTCCACTAAATTAGCGCAAGATGAATCAAAGCGTCTGATCAGTTATCGGGTTATTTACAATTGATCATAACTTTTTATAGTTGATAACGATAAGGCTGAAAATCATAGCGATTACAGGATATAACTTTGATTTAATTGCAACATATATCAAAAACGTAACTTTTAGGGGGACGATACAATTTTAATATATAGTATAAGATGTTACATTTTTGTTTACATTATACTCAAAATAAGTTAAATTAATTACATCATAATCACATATAAATTTATTTGATTTCAAGTTGATCAACCGGTATGCTTCGTTACGATCCTTCATTTCAGTATTTGACGATTGCTTGTTATAATTTCATCAGGCCGGTAAAAAATTCGACACCACAAAAAAAAACGAAAATTTGAATATCTAAAAGATGGATGCAAAACCCATAATTCGTAAAATGTTGAAAAAAACAAATTAGGACAGTTATGTTATGTGTTTCGGATAGAATTTATCACGCACCGCGAGGTGGGCTTCGGGACATTTCTTACACAAAAAGGTTCAAAAAAAAGTCAAATACAAAAAAAAATGTGAATAACAAAATAACTAAATGGTAATAACTAAAAGGGATAATATATTTAGAGCTTATTTATATGCTTTTTAATTTTTTGCACTGGAGTAGTGACTAGACTCGTCAACTCGAATCATGAGTTACTCACGAGTTAAAATAATAAATAACTTTTAAGACATTTTATACAAATATGGCGCAAGAAGAAATTAGTCAAAGTACTTTTACAGCAAAGCACAAACTTTAATCCAAAATTGGTGGGTGAACTTTGCGTAACTTGCTATTTGAAGCATATTTGTTTTTGTAATTCACAATTTACACGAGTTAATCGAGTAAAACTCAAATAAATAATTTGATCGAATGGATTGAACACTCTTCGGAGTTAATTCACAAATCACGAGTCAATACGAGTCCAGTCACTACACCGGAGCAAGAAATCTAAAAATTGTAATCATTCTTTATATTATACAGAGCAGTAGATATGTATAATCTAAATATTGTGCTAAATACTTGGTTATATGTTAAATAAAGTGATTGTAATTTTAAGCTTTTCAATTTTTTCATCTGGTGTTTAATCATGTAATACATCGAAATCAAATATTTCTTAAATTATTGACTTCAATAAAGTATTTACGTTCACAATTTATTGATGCTAATAATTTAGGAAATATTTGATTTCAATATGGTCTTGTTTATACTATATGTATAGAAATTTGGCTTAATGATGGCCTCACCTTTGAAGATTAAAAAAAAAAAGAAATTTGGCTTAATGTTGTTTTTCTTATAAACTTTCAAAATTCCCGGTTTATATAATTATTAAGAAAACTATAAATTATCAAACCGTCTTCATCTAGCGATATATTTTATTTCAGTGATCTCAAAATAATAATTGGTGATATGGATGATGCAACCAAATCAGCATTTGATGTTTTTCTCAGTGGTATAATACCACTTGGCTACACGGCGATATTTGAACCAATGCTAAGTGCAAATGTTAAAAACAATATTGATGATATTTTTATGTTTTACGTGGAAACATTGATACCCCTTTTATATGTATTCAACAAAAACAAATACACTGGAAAATATCTTATTCCCTTCTTTGTTTACATTATTTTTAAATGTCTTGCGTACATACCAATTCGGATTATCCTTAATAAAGTTAAATACCATCATAAAGTCAAATACAATATACCCAAATATTTTGGAATTGCCTTGTTTTTTTTTGTTTATGGCTGTATTTATCAATTTACTCCTTTTTTTTATCTCGAAGATGATGTCCTTGGAGTATTAAGGAGAATCCCGTCCCATCCGATATTCTATTTTGGGATTTTTTTACTTCTTATTGTTATACCAATAGTATTGTACAGTTTGTATAAGTTTATATTTGGACAAAAAGAAAACCAGAGCGGTAAAAATGATGAAAACTATATTTTCAGTTATATTATATTTATAATTTTTATCATATCTGCCTTTGCAAGTAGTATTCTTTATCTGGTTATAATCCCTGCAGATGACATTTACGTCAAAATAGGACTCAATATCAATCTATTGATGCTTACTCGTTTGCCAGGAATAATTGCGGAGAATCCGTATACAGATCTAGATAATAACATGAACCCAGATGAAAAAGCAAATTCAGATGGCAAAAGGAAACCATGTTTTAATAAAAGAGGCTTAGTTAGTATCATCCTTTTTGGTATTAATGAAGACAATGAAAATGTGGGAGAAAACAATAATGTGGAAATAGGAAGGGTAGAGGAGATTGAACAAACAGAAGAGAAAGGAAATACAGTGAAATAGATGCAACTATTGCTATGTAGATTTATTAGTTTAATCGATTTAAAGTTTTTTTCCGGAAATTTTCTTAATGTGATCGAGTTGTGGCTTAAAAGTTGCGATTAATTCAATTTCACTGAAAATTCTTTGTACAAAAATATGGAATTTTAAATTTCTGCCAATCAGAGTAATTCTATGAAAAATGTGCCTTCAGCTGATCAGATTATTCGGTAAACCCATTGAGTGTTATCAGTTTAATATTTGATTATATTTATTATTTAAATATTAATTTATATCAAATATTCAATAACATTAAATCACACCACTGGTGCTCAATACCATCTTATATCTTTTAAAGTTATGTTTTTATAGGTTAAGGCAAAGGTTGGGATTAGATATCAAAATTTAGGTTAGTGAAAGTTTTGGGGGAGCTATTAGAATACTTGACATGGATTACTTACCTGGTTTTGGAGTTACCGGTATAACATTTGTAATATTGAACACCACTGGTATGATTTAATAAATCTGCAAATACTTATTTAGTATATCTTACTAAATTTATTGTATAAAAAAAAATCCAAAGTTTGATATTAAAAATATATTATTGCAGTTATTAACATTGTTGCTCACTTTCTTGAAGTCCTATTCCCGAAATGCTATTTCACAGACCCATAACTCCGATATCCCTTTTTCCCGACAAGACTCATTTCTGACAACTTAGTTCATCGGTCATTATCGTTAGGATCCGTTTAGAATTAATGGTAGTGTAATTTTTTAAAAAAATTGCCGATAAAATCGGCTATCGGTGAAGCAATTGTCAGTGAAATAAACTTCTCAGTGAATTTATTGTTGGTAAAATGACATGAATTCAAATGAGTTGTGCCATTGTAAAAGTTATCGTTATGTAAATACATGCATACATTGATTTTATTATCGTTATATACTGCGGCACATATGTTCACATATGAGTGTTGCTAAAAGAAAACCCGAAAACTTAAATATGTCATATTTAAATTTTCGGGTTTTCTTTTAACGACACTCATATGATCTACGAAAAAAATGTACACATATGCACATACTCTAACATACACCCTACCCTTAAGCGTGTCTTCCATAAATAAGTATAATAGATAAATAGAACAAAAAAAAAAATGCGCTGAAACTAGGGATGTAAAATTACTACAATTTTGCGTAATTTCATGTAATTTTGCGGTAAGTTTTGTAAATTAATTTTTCATGTAATTTGTAAATTTGTAATTTTGAACACATGACATCTAACGGTATTTGCGTTTGCAAATTTTGTAGTTTTAAACATGCCTTCTGCTTTTAGTAAAGATCTTTATTAGTAAATTGTATATCTTTATTACGGTTCCTGGTTAATCCATTTTTCTGAAATACCATTTCACCGAAGTCGTAATACTGACAATCTATTTACTAACAGAACATACCTGACGACGTAACTTACATTGTAACTTACAATGTAAGTTACAAATATATAGATTGAATGCTAGCCATAATTATGATAAACTTGGTCAGCATTAAGACAAAAATTTGAGAACATTGTATTTAAAAAATATGATCTCTTTTTAGAACCAACTAAGAACATAAAATTTATAATTTATGTTCTCATATGATATATAGAAAATATATAATTTCTCTCACACTCTTTTTTTTTTCCCA